TAAATGCTATTGCTATTATTTGGGTAGTTTTTTATTCGTTCCAATTCAACAGACTGCGGGAAAGGAATTTCTGATAACTGACATGTTAATTTTTTTCCCTCTTGGCTCTGCTGTATTTTAGAGAGTGGTTCTTGGTAAGTATATATACACACTGTAAAGGGATTTAGAATGGACTCTGACAGAGATAGGAATGGGGGAAGAAAGGAGCAAGCTGAAGGGGGACTTTAACAAAAGAATACATAGTCCCATGATTGAAGGAAGTATGAGAAGGAAACTCAAAATAATATATTTATATCAGCCAGGTAGGGCAGGTTAAGAGCCAGGCATGGCAGGGATTCCAATAAGGCTCTTTATTGTTACAGGGTAAAATAACAGAATCTTGGAAGTATTTCAGTCTCTCTCTGACCCATCATACACTAAAGAAAATGGACTTCACCTGGAATCGGCAAGCCTAGATTAACAAGATGGGGAAACTGATTTGTACTGGATTTCTATCATTATTGAGACTTTTTTTTTTTTGGCTGTGCCTTGCCTATTCTTTCTTTGGACAGGAATTATCCTATATTCAGATTTTCTTTTTTTGTGGTAAATAGCGTAATTCATTAGTCATTTTTCCTTGCCTCTTCTCTCGTATCTATCATTAGGAAATAATAATAAGCGACTTGGAGAGTTTTTTGTACATTTCATGCAATTCAGATTAATTTCTCTTTGATGGAAGGATGCTGAAATCTATTTTAAATACCTAACTATACATTTCTTGCTAAGTAATTTCACTGCATTAGCTAAAGATGCCTGTGAGTGTGATAGTTGATATGATATGGAACAGAATTACTCAGAGGAGAGTGACGTTAGTTTTATTTCTCTTAGTGATTCATTGTTTTATACCTCCGGATTGCTGTAGGTAGGAGTAACTATAAACCCTCCTGCTACATTGACCTGATTTACACAGTAAACTAAGCCATGATTTTCTTACTAGGGAGAAATGTGGTGTACAATACTCAGATGACATTTTAGGCCAAAAATTAAACATCCAAAATAAATGTATTAAGCCCAAAAGTTGACCATACCCATTCATTTCCCGAAGATACTGAAAAAAATGATAAAAGTGCAGCTCCCAGCAAAAAAAGAGGCAGATGTGTCCAAATTAGAATGACAGGTAAAGTCAATCATTGGATTGCATCCAGTGGTATCTAGTCATCTCAGGTCTGCTTTAAAAGTTTGGGGGTCCATAGGAAAACACTGGAAGGAGATTGCATATATGACAATAGGTATTAGTCAGCATTTCTCTCTCTTTTTTAAAAAAAATATATTTATTGATAATTTTACATAAAGTAAAAGAAATCTAAAGAAAAAGAAAGAAATGAAATATTAAGAAAGAAGTTCAAGAAGGAAATGAAAGTTACAAAATATGACTTTGGACTTTTTCTTCAAAAGATAATTATAATCTTGTATTAGATATATTAGTTACTATACAAGTCCCTTTAGCCCTTCATTTAATTCCTTTTTTAAAATCTTCATAGATTATCATATTGTTTTCTTCTTTCAGCAAAAGGCCTATTTAAGGTTTCCAGTCTTCAAAAAAGATTTTGGTGGTGGCTTGTTCCCCCTCACCTTCCTCACCTTTCCTCAGTTTTGCCATTTCTGAAGATTTTTAAGAGTCCCTCTTTGAGGGAGATGGAAGGTTTAGAAACATGAAATATAAATAAAATTCTAATTTCACAATCTATTCCTCCATTCTGGGAATGTCATTGTTTTTCTATTGTTTAGCCAGCTTTTCTTAACTTTGTGTCCTTAAGACATATTTGACTTCAGCTTCCAGTTGATTTTGAGACATGTAGAAGAAAGTTATTCCTATTTGGAATTTGGGAAGCTGATGGGTGATCAGTAGTCAATCTGTTCTTATGAGATTTATATATAACTGCCATTTGTTTTTTTTTGCTTAGATTATGTGTTATAGCTACAGTTATTTATATGGTTGTTTTAGTCCTTCAGTTTTGTTCCATGCCCAGATTTGCTTCCATAAGGAAGACAAAAATGCAATCCAATAGTTAAATAATTAAATGTTAATAGTGAGGACCCACTAAAGGATTAACATACAGCAGAAATGCAAATTAAGATCTTTTCAAACATGCTGTTGGTTGCAGAGAGATATGTACAGTGATGAAATGGAAAGGAAAAGTGAGGAATGGCAGGTTAAAAAGAATTGTAATTTTCAGCTGATCCTACCTGCAGATGCTAGGTGATCACATATTTTAATGGAAAATTCACCAGATGTCTTGTCACTGCAGAAAACTCTGAGCTGGCTTTAGATTAGGCTGCATTCAGGCTTGTCTAATTTTCAGTGGATCTGAGAATTTAAGTGGGTGGTTACATCCATCAACATGAATAACAATCAATGCTAGACATAGGAAGATAGATTGGGGATGGAGTGATATGCTGAGTAACATAGAATACTGGGGAAGGAACGTCTGGGCTAAAGTTTTCCCCACATTTAATAAGTTTTTAAGTTTCTTAATAATGCACAGCTCCTAAAATCTGCTTCCACCACCAAATGCTTAATTCAAATAATTGCAAGGATAAAAATTCAGAATGTTTAATGCAAATTTAGAAATAATAGCAGTATTATGACAAATACATTTACGGTATGTATTTTAATGCATGCAAAATTGGATGTAACTTTTAAGAATAGTGCAGAAGCAACAGTATAACTACATTAGTTTTACTGCAGAACTATCCTCCAAAACTAAAAAACCCCCCTTAGTTGATAAATTTAAAAGGCAGCCATTGCCTTAAGATCAATTTTAAATGTAAATGTTGCTGATAACACAAATTTGGGTGCAACAGATCGTTTACAGGCCAACACCCAAAACTAAAAAATCCTTTAGTTGATAATTTCAAAAGTCAGACATTCCCTTAAAATCAGTTTTAGGTGTAAATGTTGCTGACAACAAATTTGGGTGCAACAGATTTTTTACAAGCCAAATTGACAAAATCAATAGATTTTATGTATCATTCCCCAAAGAGAAGTTGTGTCAGGCTTTTTTTAAAACGAGAGATCTGAATGCAGTAAGATTACAACAGTTTGTTCTGTTGGGGTGCTGGGGAGGGGGAGAGGAATTAAAATTAAAAATAGTGATGACACTACACACTATATTCTGTAAAGAGGGGGGGGGGGAAAGCTTGTAACCTAATCAAGATAAAGAAACTTGAAATGTGATATCAACATATTTAAATGTCCCCACTTTTTGTAATGGATCTTCATCCAAGACTCATCTGTTTTATGTGACATTTTTTTTGAAAAAAAATTGAAATCTTTGTTTTATTGTAATTTATGTTTGTTAGTTCTTATTAACAAAGGCGTTATTTCAAAGGTATGCCTCAGTTCTGCTTGCTTTATTTACTGAATACAATACTGCATAATCCTTATAAGGAGAAATGGGCATCTTAACCTCTGATAATGCAGGAGGATGGCAGTGTTCTAGCTTGTTTAAATGCAACTCATGACAGGGTCCTTTCTTGTTGAAATGCAAATTAAAAACAGCACCAGAACAAGGGCACACCCTTACCAGGGCCCTTTAATTGTTAAAATAAGATTAGATAACACTGAAAGGGCGAGATAGAATGTACCCTGTCTTTCTAGCATGCTCACAAATGAATTTATCAACTGCAGCTATTTTTCCAACAAGTGAGCAAACGCTGTGCCACAATTCATTTCTAGATCTTTTCAGCTTCTATATTTAGAGGTCTCCCATTAATAAAATGTGAAAATCATGCCTCCACTTTAAGCAGTCAAACTTTTATCCAAGTGAGCATGTTTGTTGGATTATGCGGCACCCTGAGAAAATATATATCCACTGAGGCAACCTCCAGCTGAGGTTACTTTATAAATCCTGAGGTTTTTTTTTTTTTGGTATTACTTCACCGCAGTTCTTTATCATTATAAGCAATACATGCTGATTCCTAGGCTGCTTCTAGCTAGTAATTTTAGGGTAGTCTCGCCTGTCTTATTGGCAGAATTCTATAGGAGTTCAGAAGATGATGCCTTACTTTTTTAACTTTTCTTTCCATCAGGAAAGGCAATAGAATTGCTGTTTTCTGATTAGGAGAGTCCATAAATGCCACTAGTTTACTGTTATGTATTTATTTAGATTTGTATTCTGTCTGTTCCCTTCAAAAAGCAGAAGGCACCTTCTCAGGGAATCTCCCTTTGTTTAATCCTCCCATCAAAAACTTTGAAATAAATTGGGCGACTGGTCCAAAACCACCCAGTGAGTTTCCATGGCTAAAAGTGGACTTGAACTCGGGTCTTACTAGCCTAACCTCCCTACCCATCACTGTGCACCTCTGTTTTTCTGCTTGTGCAAATGATTGCATGTTTATATCCTGGCAATTAAAGTTAAGATTGCTAAACTTAAGCATACTATTCCAACTGGGCAGTGGTGGGATTCAAATAATTCAAGTAATTTAACAACCGGTTCTCTGCCCTAATGATTTCTTCCAACAACCAGTTTGCCAAACTGCTCAGAAAGTTTAACAACCGGTTCTCCCCGAAGTGGTGTGAACTGGCTGAATCCCACCACTGCAACTGGGACAATGGCGGCGGAGCATCTTATAATTGAAGGTTGGCTTCCTTGCGCTCTTCTGTTGTTCTGTTAGTTTTGGCAGAAATATACTTTGCATCCTGTGGGAAAGTTTTTTAAAAAAAAAATATTGTTTAAATGATTCAAAAGAAGCGGATAGCAAATCCAGCACAGAAATGAACCCTTTCCCGGCCCCAACTATGATAGTGGTCATTAAATCTCTTCCTCCTGGGACAAAAAAAATAAAATAAAATAAAAATCAGCCCAGTTTACTTCATTAAAGCCGCCCAGTTATCTCCTGTCAGCCTAAGTTCCTTATCAACGACGATGCCTTGTTGTTACCATTCTGAGCCCCCGTGGGCAAAAGAAATCACGGGAGGGGGGGAGGAGGAGGGAGGGAGGGAGGAAGGAAAGAGGGAGGGAGGGAAGGGGAGAAAGAAAGAGATGATGCCTGTTCGGAAGAGCCCGTCCTCATGTTTTATCATCCCCTTGCACGGAGCACAACGTCTGCAAGTTGACGAGGCGCAGCCACCGAGCCAATCAGGCTTTCCTCTCCTGCCTCCGTGTCATCAGCCTTCGGTCGGAGGCAACGCTTTTGCTTTGCTCTTCGGACTCCGAGAGAGAGAGAGAGAGGGGGGGCGGCAGATAAAATGCCAGCGCTGGGCTGCCTCTCGGGATGACCTCCTCTCCTTCGAGGATGTGAATGAAACAGCGGCGCGGCCCGGGGGGTGGGTGGGGGGAAGCCGCGCAGCCCAACAACTGAACAAGGCAGCCTGAGCTGAGTCGGACTGGCTGGGCCTTTCCCCGCTTTGGCAATCCCAGCGGCGTCTGTGGCCCTGGTGTTTACTTTTTTTTTTTTTTTTTTGCCTTGAAAAAGGGGCTCTTTGGATTATCAGACCTCCATGTATGACAATTTGTACCTGCATGGATTTGAAGACTCTGAGGCGGTAAGTCTCTTTTCCTTCCTTCCCTTCCTTCCTTCCTTCCATCCATCCTTCTTTTCCTTCCTTCCTTCCTTCCTTCCTTCCTTCCTTCCTTCCTTCCTTCCTTCCCTCCCTCCCTCTCCTTCCTTCCTTCCTTCCTTCCTTCCTTCCTTCCCTTCCTTCCTTCCTTCCTTCCTTCCTTCCCTCCCTCCCTCTCCTTCCTCCTTCCTTCCTTCCTTCCTTCCTTCCTTCCTTCCCTCCCTCTCCTTCCTTCCTTCCTTCCTTCCTTCCTTCCTTCCTTCCTTCCTTCCTTCCTTCCTTCCTTCGTTCCTTCCAACCTTCTTTTCTTCCTTCCCTCCTTTCTCTCCTTCCTTCATTGCCCTCTTTCCCTCCTTCCCTCCTTGCCCCCTTCCTTCCCTCATTCCCCCCCTTCCTTCCTTTTCAGGCTTTTGGCATGTTTCTCTCCCCACCCCCCCCCACCTCCCCTCCTTCTTCAGCAATAACAAAGTAAGCAGAAGGAAAAGGATACCCAAGAGCTGGGCTCTTTCTTGGTGGGATGATGGCAGTGCATTTGATCTGCAGGCACCTAAAGTAATCCCAGGTTATGTAATTCTTCATTCAGCATCCCTGAAAAGAAAGGCAGGGGTGGAAAGCATTGGGTTGATAGACTGTGCATCCTGGGTTCTCAAGGCAGGCTGGAGGAATGCTTTCCCGGGGGTTTCTAATTTGGAAAAATGTTCTCGCCCTTGTGCCACTATGTTCAACGTCTAAAAGAACGTGGGAATGGTGCACAAAATGCTACCCTCTCTGCTTTGTTTAAGCAGACTGTTATTTTCCAGACCTGTTTCCCCCCCTCCCCCGCCTTTTTATCTAGCCAAATAATCAATGTAGATCCATTTGCTTTTCTTGAACAAAGAAACAGCACAAGTGGTTGGTGTAATGCAATCCTGTAACATCACAAAAACAGTAGGGATGCTTCTAAGAAGCTGATTCCTAAGACGGAGGTGTCATGTTGACTGGTCTTGTCATTTTACGAGATGTTGGTACTCCTTAATAAAATACCTGCTCTCTTAAGCCAGGATAGGCATTTATAGGAATTGATTGCCAATTATCTGAAAGCCTGTGCTAGTTGGAAGCCAGTTGAATGTAGATTGGAAAAAGATAATTGAGGACAATAAAGCATAATACTGTAACTGTCTTAGTCAAAATCTTTACCTCTACAGTTTAAAAAAGTCCTTAGGGGGCAATGTTTTCTCTGGACAAAGAGAAAAGTGCTTAGATTGACACAATAAGGTACATGCTGTTCCACATTAAAGGAATGTGTTACATAAGTTTTATCGCAAAGGCATAAAAATGCAGTGATTATAACATAAAATGGTCTATGTATCAATGGGGGCCTTTAAGATCAGCACTGATAAGATCCATTTGGAAATGGACAAGATCTCATGTATTTTGCAAATGTCCCTGTTGCTCTAATGCTCTTTGGAATACAGCTGCAGAGTACCGCATTTTGAGATTGATTCAGCCACCAATATTTGTTATTGTTACAATTTTTCTAATAGGAAAGTTGAAATTCAAAGTGAGTTAAAACAAAATCTCTTTTGACTTTCAAAACTTGCTGTTTGATTTATTGATTTTATACTGGCATTTCTGCATCCGGCAGATATTTTTTCCACAATGTATATTTTCCCAAACTTCCCTGTCAGTGCATTATTTTTTTTTTATTCTGAGCTAAGGTTTGTTAATACATTCATAACTTTTTTCAAAAGAAGGCAAGAAATTTTCGGTTAATACCTCTTTGGATGAATGACTGGCACTGCAGAAATATACCAGAAATATTTTTAAGTGAAATAGCCAAGCTCAGTCGGTAAAATGTCTTGTCTTGAGTTGAGGACACCCGGATTTCTGGATTGCTCATCATTAGCTCTGCAGATGGACTATAACCCCTTCCTTGTCAGGCTCATTTCCCTCATTCAAGGTGTAGCAGGCACAGAAACCTCTCATTCAATATTGTCCTGTGAATGAATGAGAAGCTGCTGTGAAAAAAACCCCTGAAACACAAAATATATTGAACAAGAAAAAATAAAGCCAGCTGCGGTACAGAATTTCTACATGATTCACTTTATACACTCAGCCAATACCTGCTGGTTTGTGCATGGACTAAAAATAGTCCGCTTTGGCCAAGATAATCATTTCCTTCCCTGGATACGGAAGGAACCGTACTTTGTTGCACAAAGTTCATGCTTCTTCCAGAGAGCCTTTAACATTTGCATGGCTCATGCTATTGCCAGTAGACTGTCATGAGCACTTGCTGGACATGGCTGATGATGTGAGTGATAATGCTGGGGCCATTGTGTGAAATAGATTATTTATGCTTAAAATTGATGTGTACTGTCTGGGTTGGAAGAGTAATGGTGGTGAGAGTAGGGAGAGGTCTGTTGAATTGGGGTGGGAGAAGTCCATGTTATCCTTCACCGCACTGGGATGTTTGTCCTTGTAAAATATACCTTTGTGGGTGTGGGTATTTTTAAAGAGATTTCCAAAAAGGAGACTTCAAACCGATAATGATTCCATAATCTCCCTTACTTAAAAAGCCTGTCTTAAGCTGTTAAGATTCTGAGAAGTTATTTGCCAGCAAAGGGCAGCCTGCTTGCATTTTCTATTAAGCCAAGATTGTGACCTATTCAAGGGAATATTAATTGTAGTTTTGTATATGAATCTTCTTTCTCCCTTTCCCCCCTTCCTTTTCTTAAAGAGGAAGTTTTAGGACAGAAATTAAATTATACTGCTCATGCTGCATTGATAATAATGCAAAAGAATATATAACTCCGGTTTAGTGAATAAGAGTATTATGTTCAAAGTTGAGGCCTTCTGTCACCGAGTTGCTGTTCTGCAGGAATGGGCTGGTAAGAACTTAAAGAAAAAGGGTATTGTAAAAATGCGTTATATGTGTGTGTCTCACTTAAAATGTATGAGTTAAGGGGTTGTAAACAATTCTGGTTTGGTAGAAATCTAAACAAAGCGACCAAATTGTTCAGCTGGGTTTTCATGTATAAAAATACAAAGACATGAATTGAAATTGGGTTTTTTTGTTTGTAGGGAGAATATCTGTAACTAAAGACCCTCACATTGTAACATGAATAGGTTGGAATGACTCAAGAGTAGTACGGCAATTTTTACTGCAGTATGCCTTATAGAATCTAGGTTGCTCAAGTTTGATGCCTGACCCATGCTGCTATGCTGCCAATTCACGAATAAAGTGAGGATTTTGAAGAAAGCCAAAATGTAATTTGAAGATTTTTCAGATTCCAAATTAGTCTTGGATGGAAGGACAATTTGTGGAGATAGGTGCTAATTAATATTTCCCACCTGTCATAATTTTTTTAATGAGCAGTTTTGTATGTATACCTCAGGCAAGCACAGAAACTTCTCATTCAAGATTGAGAACATTTGGAGACAAATACTGTACCCGTGGCAGGTGGTAGGATCTTGCTGACCTTGGATGATTAGTAGTTGGAAGGGAAACCAACTGTAAAACCAAGATGTGTTAGCTACTCTGGAAAGTTGGAAAAAAAAAAATCGCAGAAGTGGAAAGTGGCTAGCTAATTCTGGAATCCTGCCCAGAAATCTGCATGGAAGTCTTTATATAGTCAGAAAGACTCAAGCTGAATTCAGGAGAATGTTTATTTTTACCTTATACTTTGTTAGTGAAAGAAGCTCACTCATGTATCATGCCAGAAGAGAAAGTAATTGCTATCAAAGATAAACAAGAAAAAAAGGTTTGTTCATTTAAGAATATAAATCATATTTTTATTTATGTTTATTTATAAAGTAATAAGGGTTTTTTATTTAAATGTAGATAGCAATAGCACTTAGGCTTATATACCATTTCACAGTGCTTTACAACCCTCTCTAAGCAGTTTACAAAGTCAGCCTATTGCCCCCAACAATCTGGGTCCTCATACCCACCTCGGAAGGATGGGAGGCGGAGTCAACTTTGAGCCTGGTGAGATTCGAACTGCCAAATTGCAGATGGCCAGCAGTCAGCAGAAGTAGCCTGCAGTACTGCATTCTAACCACTGGGCCACCACGGCTCTTATTTGCTTCATAATATCCTGGTCTTATTTGCTTGACGTTCTGTTCAGATGGCTTGCCACAACATATGACCAGCATGGAGTCTTCCCATGACGGTTATATGTTCTGACAATCATAAAATGGGTTGGTCACGTGACTGAACAAGCTTTGCAACTTCTTTGTGTGTGCTATTGTTAAGCAAACCAATAACAGCAAAACTGTATTAAGTTGTGGTCCTGTGACTGTGAGATACCACAAATGACTAAGTGAGGCAGTGTTGCCAAGATCCCAAATCTCAAGTCACATGACTGTGGAGGGGGCCCAACTGTTGGAACTTTGAACCCGGGTTGTAAGTTCCTCTTTTCAGGTCCATTGTAACTCTGAAAGGTTGTTAACTGACCAGTTGTAAGTTTGGACTGCCTGTATACAATGCAGTTCAAAAAGCCTTTTGAAGCATGTCTTTGGCCTTCAAAGAGGCATGAGTAAAGACTTGCTTAGAACAAAAAAAAGGAATTAGTCCAGCTCAAGGTTGACTCAGTCCAGACCTTACATCTTTCCAAGGTCAGTAAAATGAGGACACAGGTTGTTGGGGGTAATATGCTGACTCTAAACAGCTTACAGATGGTGCACTATATATGAAGCGGTGTATAAGTAACAGAATAACAGAGTCGGAAGGGACCTTGGAGATCTTATAGTCCAACGCCTTGCTCAGGCAGGAAACCCTATACCATTTCAGACAAATTGTTGTCCACTCTCTTCTTAAAAACTTCCAGTATTAGAGCATCCACTACTTCTGGAGGCAAGTCATTCATTCCACTGATTAATTGTTCTGTCAGGAAATTTCTCCTTAGTTCTAGGTTGCTTCTCCCTCTAGGTGGAGACTGCATCCAGGAATGGGTTGTCCTCGTTTGTTCAGTTGAAGGACTGAGTCTGTCAAAGCTGTTAAGCTC